TGCTGAACCTGGCATTAGCACTGAAAGAAATACCTCAACTACTCCCAAACGGTAGACATAATGGACTAGGAAATATTCTTCAGTAGCACTTAGTTTCATCCATAGAAGGGGGATGAAGCCCCTCTGCACATCAGTATCTGAACTTCGTAAATACTTGGAGAGATCTCCAAAGTGTGAGGAGGAGAGATTGTCTGTGCACGTGCATGTAACATAAGTAATTAAAACAAGGTGTCTAATAAAAAAAAGATACCTGGATTTGCAAGTGACGGGAAATGACTTTTGAATCACTGGAGTATTATGAGAATTGCAAGGACTTATACAACAATGGTGGTGTTAACTGTACTACCAAGCATATTGATTTGTGATGTATGTTTTGTGTTTGTGAATAGTATGGATCCAGCAAAGACTGATTAGAACAGAAATTAAATGTTGGGGAAAAAAATTGAAATAAAAGTAGTTATTCATCTTGTTCAGTATTTTTTAAATAATTGATGCTTTTTGTGTTTAGAAAGCAAAGGTTTGAAAATATCTAATGAGTATTCCAAAAGTATTGACATGTCATTTTCACTAATTTAAACGGATGGCATTTATAATGTATTTATTTTGCATATTCGTTCTGTTAATTGGGAACACTGGCAATGTTGAATGTAATTACAAGAATGAAAATAGATTTGAATTTGTATTTGGAAAGTCTGAAATATGTTCTAGGTTTGAGGAAGACAGTGTATGTGGGTATTCCATTGGAGAAACCTCTCTGGAAGTGTATAGTCTGGGAAGTGTTGCTTTAATATCAGGCCTAGTTTTTTACCTTTTACCTTTTTATGCTGCCTGGTTTTTATTCATTTACAAAGCAACGCATGCCTGGAAAGACGATGGCCACTTTTGGAATTTACTCCCAAAATACGACAATTTGCATTATACTTGTGTTTCACTTCTCTACGATTGTCCCTACAGAGAAAGAATGACTGCATTATGCTGCATTAGAGTGCTGTCTGGTCTGCTTTGACGTGGACACACCAACGCTAATGTGTGAAAAACAAAATTTCAACACACATACACATGCAAATTGCCAACACCTTAATTTTACATGACAGTGTTCACAAAGTCATATTTTTGTCTGTATTTTTATAGTGGAACTTGCAAATGACTGTTCAGTTCACATTTGTGCAGTTGCTGGTCTGGAGCTGGTAGTTTTTACTTTCAAAACCAGTATAAACTTCAAAAATTTCTGAAAATTAAAGTTGTTAAAAGCAAACTTTTTTACATACTTTAACCTTTTTCTAACCTGCATAAAGTTACAAAGCAATTGTGTTTGCCCTTTCACAGGTGGAAATGCTAGAACGGAAATATGGAGGCCGTCTCATAACTAGACATGCTGCTCGTACTATACAAACAGCTTTTCGCCAGTATCAGATGAACAAAAATTTTGAGCGTCTTAGAAGTTCTATGTCTGAAAATCGTATGTCAAGACGCATTGTACTGTCCAATATGAGAATGCAGTTTTCCTTTGAAGGACCTGAGAAAGTCCACAGCTCTTACTTTGAAGGAAAACAAGTTTCTGTTACAAATGATGGGTCAAAGCTGGGATCCCTGGTACAGTCTGAATGTGGTGACCTTGGAGAGTCAGCTACAATGAAGCCTCCAGCAGCATCTACTGATTTTGCTGATGCTATAACAGAACTGGAGGATGCTTTTTCCAGGCAAGTGAAATCCCTTGCAGAGTCCATCGATGATGCACTGAATTGCCGTAGTCTACATTCTGATGAAGTCCAGACTCCGGATCAAGTCAGAAGTCGTGAAATGGAAAGGGACAGTTGTGCTCAAACTAAACCAGCAATTCACAATGTGGATCACAGGAAGCTTGATGAGATGACAGCATCATACAGTGATGTTACATTATATATTGATGAGGAAGAGTTATCTCCACCCCTTCCACTTTCCCAATCAGTAGAGAGACCGTCCAGCACAGAATCTGATCTGAGGCTCCGGTCCGTGAACTCTTCTCAAGAGTACTGGTCCATGACCCACAAAGATGATAAGATAGACACTGATACGAGCTGCAGGAGTACCCCGTCATTGGAATGTCAGGAACAGAGGGTGAGAATGGACCATCTACCATTGCTAACTATAGAGCCACCCAGTGACAGCTCAGTGGACTTGAGTGATCGCTCAGAGAGAGGCTCATTAAAGAGACAAAATGCATATGACCGAGGGATCACTAGTCAACGAGGAAGCCCAAAACACATCCCTCACAGTATTCCTGCCAAGATTATATCCCGAGAGGAGCAGGAGGCAAGACATAGGGCTAGGCCTATAGACAGTCATTTAGCTATCAATGGCACAGCAAACAGGCAAAGCAAATCAGAGTCTGATTATTCTGATGGAGACAATGACAGCATCAACAGCACTTCCAACTCTAATGATACAATAAATTGCAGCTCAGAATCGTCTTCTAGAGACAGCCTAAGGGAGCAAACCTTGAGCAAACAAACATACCACAAAGAAACTCGCAACAGCTGGGATTCCCCTGCCTTCAGTAATGATGTTATCAGGAAACGCCATTATAGGATTGGACTGAACCTTTTTAACAAGTAAGTACAGCGTTTCCTCCTTTTCTCTCTGTGTTTGGTGGAAACACAGCCACTGAACCGGGAATATTTTCCTTATATAAGATAAGTAAGACTAGTATCTGGTACTGACTTTTCAGTGAGAAACATAAGTTGTTCGTGGTGACTGTTGGTGTTAGAGTACTTACAAGCTGACGTCTTCGTAGTTAAACAGCTTTAGGGGTAAAGAAAAAATATAATTATGTGTATATATATATATGGTAGTTAACTGTTAAAGAGGATGGATTGGATTTCTTTCTTGTTGAAAAATGTGGTGGCTTAATCCTTATCCATTTTTGGTGTTACGACAAATTCACATTTCTTCCTGCCCTAATCATGTAGGCATTGTAAAACTTCTCATACAGGAATTGGAAATGACAAGCAGCATGGGTTTGCTGTTTAACACACGCAGGGCCTGAAATTTGTTCAGTAGATCATCAAAGCTTTGATACTAGAAAACAATGCACTTAATATTTTTACACTAATTACATTTTTATTATTTATCATAAAATTATAATAAAATTTGTATTGCTGCCTATGACTTAATTTTCTCATGTATTGTTTTTGAAAACTTCTATAAAACAACTTTTTCAAGTTTCTTTGTTGTATTGAAATACTTTATTCTTTGGACACTCCCATGTGGCTGTAGAGAACCATGAATATTACGATTAAGAGTAACAATATACTGCTTAAACTCTGTATTCACATTACTGGAGTTCATTAGAACTATTATAATTGGAAGATAAGAACAGCTAGGTGGCTGGCATTAGAATTCCTAGCTTTTCTTTGCTGCTCAGTTGATGCCTGGTGTGCCAGTTTCCCTGCCCTAGAATGGGTATCATTTACTTGAACCTTTTCTGGCACTAGTGCCTATATAAAGCTCCTCAGAACTCTTAGGTGAAAGATGCCAAGGGCCAGAATTTGTTCCTATTTTTCTTTAAAATAGTGTTGGCAGCTCACAGTGTTTGTATAAGTTTTTGAAATTTTCTACCGAGTACTTCAGGATTTCTCTGTGGAAATTTTGTAGCTTCTGAAGAGCTAATAAATATTTCGTCATGCTGGCATAGACCTTGCTTCACAGTCTCCTCCAGCTTGAATGAGTTCAGCCTTCCTTTTCAGCTACCACAGCTGCGATCTGGTTTGGTTGGATTAATAGGTCGGTAGTTCATCATACAATAATAAGTTGTAACATTGCTGATAAATAGAGCTCTTTGATGCTATCATGTGAGGCTGTGCATTACAATACGAAGTATGGATCGGACAGGTTTGGCTGTAAAAACTTTCAGGTTTGTTTCTTTATCTTTGTGAAAAGTTAATAGGCCTTTGCAGAAACTTTTAACCAGTTGGAAGTATGTAAGTCATAGGATCTCTGCAGCTTTTGCTGCTCATGAAGTAGACTGGGTAGGAAGAGAAATCAATATGATTTTTTTAGAAGATTTGAAAACATTCACATTCTTGGTGTGGGGAGGAGGTACTGTTTGGCTGACATTTAAAAAAACTTGGTGTTTGCTCAGCATTTTGCACAGCAATTAAGCCTTAAGCAGTCAGTGGTCAGTGAACTTCAGGCTTGATAATACAGTCTTTTGAGTCAATTGCAGAAGGGTGTAAGAAAAAAGGTGAATGGAAAAAGTGCTTAAGTGGCATGCAGAGAGGAATGAGAGCACTGGAAGTTGTCAGATTCTTCTAGTCACATGCCATGTCAGTAGGAGGCTGACAGTGAAAAATACACATCAGGAACAGAGAAGAATAGAGACTGTTATTTGAAACACATCTAAGTGGTCTTGCTGCATGGACTTAAACCTTTTTTCTATATTGACTGGTTATAAGGTGACGTGCAGTTTCTTAGCAGTGAGTTCTAGAAGACAGCACTGCGCAGAACTCTGTGCGTGGTCTTTTGCTGTGTGTGATTGTTTCATTCCCCTACTGCATTTTATCTCCAGTATTGACACAGAAGTGAAGATTCTCATCACTTTCTGCCGAGTCACTCTAATTCTATTGACAGCTCAGACAGTTCCCAAGTATCCCATGTATCTTAGTTTTGATTATACCTCTTCACGTCCAGATTGTGACATTTCATGAATAGCCATATTTCCCTTCTGTGCAATGTCAGGTGTCGAACCACCATAGAATGTGATGGTACCTGAATCTGTAAACCTGTTTGAAAGGGAGCTGGGAAACTTCCAAAGCTTTATTCTTTAAAAAGTTCAGAAGGAGACTCTTAAGAGTGTATCAGTGGAATTGCAAACTGCATTTTGTGAGGTAACTGGAGGGATAGGGATTGTGTTCAGGCACTTGAAGGGATGATTTCTGCAAGATAAAGAATCCTTTTTCCTTTTATATGTGTGCTGTACAGGTGCATTAGTTTCAATTAACTTCTGAGCATTACGCTCACAGTTCTCAGCACATGAAGTGTGTCACAGCATCTTGTGCGCCCAAATGTTTTTTGAAAAGCAAGCCACATGCTAGATGTGAGTTCCCTTGGCAAAGGCTGCTATTTCACATGCAGAACAGCGGAAAGGAGGATTGCCCAGGCTGGCTGGACATGGAAAGGGGGTCTGCAGGCAGGTGGGCTTCCTGCAAATCAGTCCTGTCTTTTCAGTTTTGCTGTGGCAAAGATGCAACTGCTCAGCATCTCATATGAGATGGGTCTGCCTATGCATCCAGCCCCGTGTAGCAGACTGCTTGTTCTTCCTGTCGTGTGAGCGGATGTGCACCTGCGATGTGATGGGATACATTTTTTAGTCTGCTCTCCAGTGTTCAAGTCAATGCAGCAGAATCATTTAGGTGTCTTTGATCATGTGATCTTTCATGACACGTTTATGATCATAAAATGACAGAGTAGTACAAGTCTTGGCAGCGAGCTCTGGAGAAGACGTGTGCTCCACCCATGCAGAAGGACTGTGCACAGAACTGAAAGAAATGGCTTTGAAGTTACCCATTACAAGAAGGCAAGCTTTTTTCCAAATGTCTGCACCTACCAGAGGAAATTTTAGGGATGTCTTTTACAAGACGTTCGTGTTAATTTCATTGCATCTTTGAAATCTTTCTTGCAAATTGATATCCCAAACCTTAATTAACAAATAATCATGTCATTTCTTTCTGGTAGATGAAACTTGGCTGAAATGCAAAGAGTTTAGAACCTTAAAGAAGTAGATGAATCGTAGTAAATACTTCTGCTTTGTTCACTAGGGGTGCTGGAAGAATGAAGTTTTAAAAAGCGTGGAAAGTCACTGTCCTCACAGTTGAAATTTCAGAAGATGCTTTATAATTTTTCTAGCTTTCTTATTATAGTAATAATTTTCAGAAGCCAAAGCGAAGGTTTCTTACCAAAGGCCCTTTATTAGACTAGCAAGTTATGGGTGGAAGTTGAGCACAGCTGGTGGTCTGGTTCACTTAATTGCCATTATATGCAAAACATTAGTAGCACAAAGGTCCTTGGAGAATGAAGAACACAGGACAGTAGAGAAAAACCTGTAGGCAATTGAAAACCATTTTTCTAGGAGTTTTGTCACTGGATCGTAGAATTTGTTTCAAACTAATTTGGCACTCAATTTGGAACCTTGGTGTTGATTAAAGTGTACTTTTTTTAAAGATGTTTTGTGGCATCTACTATACTAGCACAGAAAGTATTACCCAAATTGGAATGATTTCTGCCACAGACATCGCAACTAAGGAAGAGCTTGTGTACATTCTCCTGATTTTGAATGGCGGTAGTGATTTCACCCTGTCAATGGGCTGTCAGCTTGTGTGTTACCATTCATTGCCTGCCTAAAGGAAGGATTGCAGGTGCATGCCCAGAGTGCAGAGGCTCCAAGGGAAGCTTGGTGCAGCCAGCTGTGTTGAAATAGGCATCTTCAGTGTAGTTTGAAAGGGTTGTAGTCTGGGAGAAATTATACTAGAAACCATTCCTCTCTTACAGGCAGAAGGAAAACACTACCTAGAAAGGTTTATTTTGCAGGCTCCAAACCCTGCCAATGTAAATCCAGCCTTTGAGACTGGTTTGCTTATAAACAAGGCTTCAAGAGGGCTTTTGACTGCTGCTTTAAAAACAAAAAAAAAGACGATGGGGGGAAAAAATAGTAAAAAGGGCTGTGATATGATTCTCATGTTTGTTTTGACTCCAGGCTGGAAATACCAGGTTTACCAGTTATTGCAGCCCAATCCGGTAGGATTTTCAGGTTCTATTCTGCTACCGGTGCACTGATGGTTCTAACAGATTAAACAGGACCGAATGGTTTAACCTCAGCAGTCTGAGGAAACACGTTCTGCCCTTGAGTCAACTTTGCAGTTGGTAGCAGCAGACTGTAATTCTGTGCAGAGCTGTGCGTGCGTAGGAAGAAGTATATTGCTAGGTTCCCTTCTCTTGTGCCACCGCGATGGTGGCAGTAACTCTGGCTCTTGCCAAGTACTTGCGGCTGCCAAGTATTTTTGTTGATGACAGTTCCTGTGTCCTCAAACTGCAGTGACACACCCAGCTGGGCCACATCAAGTAGAGTACGATGTGGTGATTATTCAGCGTTCTCTTGGGTAGGGAGTACAAACACTTTCTGTATTAATAAAGTATTTTTAACAAAACTTGGACACAATTAGAATGGTTTGAAAATGTGATGTGACTGTGCCTAGTATTATAAAATGTGGGAGATAAAAGTTTTTGTTTCTCAGACTCATTTGTTCATCTAGCAGAGACTAGTCATATTTGCTGTCTCCTTTGGGATATCAGATATTGGAAGATGCCATTAGATGTCCTCTCATCTGGCAGTGTTCCTGTGACGTCGTGGTTTCCTGCCACGGGAGCCAGTCTTGCTGGTGCCAATTTCTGACAGTGCTGGTGCAGAGGTACCGTGAAGTACGGCGTGTGGGCCATTTGCACCAGGCTGCTCTGCTCTTTATGCTGTGGCATAATGTTGTTGAGGGCTCTTTTTGTATAGTGTTTGGCTGAAGGTTTTACAGCCTAAATCTTGCACATACATCTTGGAGGTAAATGA